TACCCCCCAAGTCCTTAACCGCCTGAGACAGATCAGGTTCCATGAACAAATGTGTGTCGGAAGGTGGAATGCTATGAATAATTGCGTGCAGAGCTTTATTTTTTACTCTGTACGTGTCTCGTCTTTGTTGGATAATTTCGGCTCTTCGACCACAAACATATTGTAAAAGAGAGTCCGAATTTTTGCGGAATTTTGAGTCATTCGCTAAGAACTCTTCCCCTACAATCTGTTTGTAAACACGCGGTAGCTTGTCACATAGCTGCTCGAATATTTTTCTCTGTTGAAGAAGTCCGTTCGTCAAGGCTCCCAAGGCAAGGTCAAATTTTTCTAATATTGCTACTGATGTCCAGTTAGGCGTGATGGAAGCAAATAGATTGTTAACTTTCAAGGCTGAAAACATTGACGTGGCCTGAAATTGTTTCTGCACTTCCGAATAACGAATATTCTTCCAGCTATTGGTACCTAAGCGCTGACAATCAATACCTTGTTGAATTAAAACCGGGTCCGCCGTAGAAATTTTTGCTTCGGACTCTACCGTGATTGGTTTGAAGTTGAAACCTGCGCATTCTCTACTACCTCGATTTATTAGAACCGTTTTTCCCCCGAAGGGATAAAAACGGATATTTAGGTTTCTGCCGTAGCTTGAACCACAAGGAGATTGGTGTACTGCCTGCAGGCTGGCTGGATGTCTTGCCCGTTATGGTCAATTTACCACGAGCTTTAAGATAAGAAATTGTGTTCATAAATGGAGTATATGAAGATGCGTGTATTTGTGCCATGATAGCATGAGGAGAATATAATAATGCCTTTCCTAAAGGCCATGATAAAATTATCGACGAAATTTGCCTATAAGACTTTTCAGAAAGGTCTACGTCATCTGGATAAAATGCACGAAACAATTCAGAGGTTGGAATGCCGAACCTGAATTTGCCATAACCTTTCGACGATCCAGCAAAACTCTCAATAGAATGGTTTGTTACTTGCCATGACTCCCAATTTGAGGGATAGTTTTTCTGAATTGATTGCAAAATTAACAGAAACGCTTCTTTCTCCTCATTATTGTCAGGTACAATTTGGGCCAAGTCGCCCATGGTTGTTGTATTTGGACTGGCCATACCTGCAAATAGTTCATCGTAAATAATGTGTATCATGGAAGTAACATGCAGACAAAGGTGCTGCGTAGTTTGCTAATCATGATTACGCATGCATACATTCGCAGCACCTTTTTGCTTTGGTTGCCCGATGAGGCTAGCTAATAGTCAATCAAATTTATGGCATTATTAAATGCAAATGACGGTGCCTATTGAGGCAACTGCGTCTCGTCGTTGGGCCATGGGCGCCGAACGGAATTAATTATTACCTATTACTTCAGTAATTGAGCTGGTTAATTTTTACTTGTTATCAGCTGAGTTATAAAAGCGTACTGACAAGTATGACAGCCAGGTGCTGCTACCCGAGCGACCTTTGTGGAGTATTTGTTCTCGATAGATGGCGCAATAGGCATTGATATGGATCAAGCTAAGGCTGAGTTCACATGAGCGTAATCTCCTTGTGGTTCAAGCGAAGGCACGAACACCTAAATAGTCGTGTTTTCTTTGGTTATAAAGCGCAGTGTCACTAACTTTATACTACTAGCACGGGGATAAAGAAATTATAGAAACTACCTCACTAAATTGGAAAAATATATATTTACGAGATATCTATTTAAATAAATGTACATAAAACATAAAGGCTATTTATTTGAAGCAAGTTATAAGAAACAATGGCAGAATGTCTGTTTGTGTATGAATTCATTTGTCACGGCTACCAAACTTTGCGAATTATCAGTGAAACAAAACAAACAGACGGCATAATAATTGAACCAGATCTCTATCAGGATCATATCGTTGTTGAATTTGCGTGCAAAATTTGTATTCGGATCCCGATTATTGCCTAAGAAAACATAGCTAGAGTTGCGACAGAGTTGCATTGTCTTCAGTTTATCAAGTTTATTCAGTGAAATCGCTGGATAAATTTATCAGAAATGTGTAAACGGGTTTCCATACAAATTTTGACAGTTCATTTATAAGGTTTACACAATTATAAGTTTATACGGTTTACAATGCATTTATAAGGTTTGATGAATACCATTACTATAATATTTGCTTTTATATTAAAATATCAATAATGTTACCGCCACGAAGTTTTCATGCAAATGAACATGTAGCTGTCAAACTATCAAATCTCCGGCATTAGATGGCAAGATATAAGCTCTAATATATATTGCTCTTGAAGAGCAATGAGCGGTCTCCATTGGCTATTTATATTCTAACATATGTATCAAGATATAAACTTTATCCTGTGGAGACGGGCAGTAAAGAGATGTAAAAAAGACAAAAGTTATTAAAATAAACTTAAAAAATGGTAAAATATGCATTGAACTGAATGAGTTCCGATCAGCAGTGGAATTCTGACTATAGTTACGCTATTTGCTTGTCGATAAAATTCTCTAAATGAAAAGCAGTAGGGCCTGAAAGTATACAACATGAAACAGAAACACATGAATTGCGTGTTTGTTCTGTGGTCTGTCGTGGTTGTGGTGTGATCTATTGTGTTGTATGTTGTGGTGCTGTGGTGTTTGTGTGGAGCTGCTCAGGTGGACTGGGGTTAGCCGTGGAGGCTGCTCTATTTGAGCAGCAGGGGGCCACAAACGACATGGTCCAAGCTTTACACTTGACTGAGGTGGGGTTGTGGTGTAGTCGTCTCTGGCATACACAGCAGGTGTGGGTTTCTGGCCCTGGGTTTGACTCGATGCCAGCCCTGAGCAGAAGAATACGTAGCAAATGTGGCCCTATGGACGAACAACTTCTGAGATACTTCGCCGGGTTAGATCGCCGAAACAACAGCCCTTGGTCGGGTAAAACCCGAGTCATTCCGGTACGCAGAACCGGATGTCGTGGGCATGTTAAGCTTTGGTCAACCGTGAGGTCACTGTCCAATCCGGTGAAGTTCAGGTGGCCATCAAGAAGGCGAAAGCCTCCTGGGACCGAAGGAATATGGATGTTGATGCTGAAAAATGTGGGTCCTGCGGGAGTAACGTACCTAACGGAGGTCCTCAATTTGTCAATGGCCACTCTCATCATCCCAGACATCTGGAAGGTGGGGAGAGTGGTCCCACTGCTCAAACCGGGGAAACCAGCCAACAAAGGAGATTCGTATCAACCGATAACACTCCTTTCCCCGGTAGCGAAGACACTAGAGGCCTTGCTGCTCCCGTATTTCACGAACCACCTGACCTCAGCGAAGCATCAGCATGGTTTCCGTAAAGTGCACAGTACAGCAACAGCACTTAACGCCATAAACACTCAGATGACTCGTGGCCTTAACCGCAACCGTCCCTGTGAGAGAACTATTCTAGTAGCGTTGGACCTGTCAAAGGCGTTTGACACTGTCAGCCATTTCACGCTACTAGAAGATATACAGGCTTCCTCTCTCCCACAGAGACTCAAACGGTGGTCGGCAAATTATCTGAGTGGTCGACACTCGGCGGTAATGTTAAGAGACAAATCGAGCAAACTCAGGAAAATAAAACAGGGGGGTTCCACAGGGTGGTGTCCTTTCCCCGCTACTGTTTAACTTTTATATTTCAAAGCTCCCTCAACCACCAGAGGGAGTCTCGATTGTCTCTTACGCCGACGATTGCTCGATCATGGCGACTGGAAATGGAATTGATGACTTGTGTTCGAAAGTAAACGGGTATCTCTCCGAGCTTTCTCGCTTCTTCACTGCAAAGTGCCTAGCCCTCTCCCCTACGAAATCCTCGGCGACCTTGTTCACCACCTGGACGAAGGAGGTCAGGCTACCGCTGGGAATTCACGTCGATGATACACCAATTCCGTCGGTGAATAGTCCAAAAATACTCGGAGGAACATTCGACAGTCAGCTCTCCTTCTCTGCGCTCGCAACCGCCTATGTCAATAAAGTACAGAGCCGCAACAAGGTCCTCAAGTCGCTAGCCGGCAGTACTTGGGACAAAGACAAAGAAACGTTGCGGGCAACATACAAGGCAATAGGCCGACCGGTTTTAAATTACGCATCACCAGTGTGGTCGCCGGGGACTAGTAGGACGCAGTGGATGAAGCTACAGAGACTTCTGATGTCGCCAGAACACCACCTGCACGACGAGGCAAAAATGCTCCCAGTCAAGGAGCATAACATAATGCTCTGCAAGCAGTTTCTGGTTGGGAGCCACAGACGTATTCACCCAAACAGACCGCTGCTTGCAGAGGAGCCCTCGCCAAGGCACGTCAGGAGGCATCTCTACGAACTGACGGACGAAGTCCATAGGTTCATTAAGCAAGTGTCCGGCATGCAGAGAGACCCTTCACGACTCGAAACATCTCTTCGCATGCCCTTAAAACCCGACAACCCTAACGCCTTTGTCCGTGTGCACCGACTCAATTGAGGCTGCACGCTTCTTAGGGCTGTCGTTAGTGGAACTTGACGACAACAACTGAGATATTAACCGATCTGGGCGCGGTTGTTGTAGCCACTACAACAACAACAACAACATGAATTTCTTAATCAGCCAAATCTGGTAGTGTGGCCGGCACGCACCTAGATGCTGCGTGTTGTTAGGGGCGTCTGCTAATCTTTTGGAGATTTTTGGCGATCAAAATTTGCGATAGCATATGTGGAATACGGCTGCAGGTGATCTCAGGTGTGAGGCATTTCTGGAAAACATCTGCAGCCGGATTCGCTATCGCTAATTTTGATCACCAAAAATCTCCAAAAGAAAGCAACATCTAGTTACATGCCCCTCATACTGCCTGCTTTGGTTGATTACAAATTGCATCTGTTACTTTTCCACTTTTTTTTTCTTAGGACCCACTGATTTTCATCTAGAGAATTTTGGTGGTGGAAATTTAGCGTAGCGGCTGTCAAAATTCCGCCTGATATTTTTTCACTTGTAGGTATGCACAACGATAACCGGTTTAAGACGGTCTGAAAATACAAATTTATCGAGGCTCATTAAATACTACCCGTAAACTTGCGAAAATCTGGCAGCACATATATGCTTTCGGTTATTTAAAATTTAATATGGCCGCTGATTTCCCGTTGTAATAATTCGCACGTAATTTTTCTAGCCGGTTACGCGAACCAAATTTCGACTTTTTATAACTTTAACCCTCATTGAAAAATATAATTTGATTTTGAAATGTTACGCCGTTTGGGTGAAGAGCTTGATATATTAACTTGCCCCTATAACGTGGCACATCAAATACTTCGATGCCGTTTTCAAGTTCACCTAGTTAGGTGTCGAAAGTCGTATCCAGATGCTGAAGTGGTTGTGTGTCCCTTTGATGTAACACATCGTATTAATAAGCAAGAATTAAATGTAAGTGATAAACAACCTTTTATAACAAATTTCGGAACTATCACCAATTCTTTATAGTGGCACGTTAGCTCATGCCCAAAACGCCAATCATTCGAAGTATTCAAAAGCAATGAAACTCCTACACAAGGAGTAACTGCTTCCATTTGTACTTCATTCGATAGCGAAGGGACACAACATAATTCTACGTGGGAAACTGCAAATACATCATTTCAGCTAGAAACCTCGCAAAATTGGGACAATTTACCGAATGTACCATCGTATAATCCTAGTGCATATGCTGAAAAAGCAAATGTATTGCGGGCTCCTGTTGGTATGAAACCAGCTCAAAGAGCTGCTTTTCGCAATGCTGAACGAAAACGGCTACAGAATTTATAAAGCTCTATCGTCAAAAATCACATAGAGTAATTTTTAAGTACAAGTTTTTCTATATCGCGTTAGTAATAACACATTGAAGTTCTCTGAATTTTCTTTATTTAAAATGAATTGTTTTTAGTTTTCACTTAATAAATTCTAAATATATACTTGTGATGCGACTTAAATTATTTGACAATACCTAAACGGGACAATAATCAATGGGACATTAAAAAATCATAATCGGGCAGGTTCTGCAATTCACTTCCGAGTGAATCTTATCCTCTGCCAATTTGAATTCAAAGCGAACTTGACTCAAATTCACTCGGAAGTGAATAGCAGAACCTGACGAAATATTTGAAATCGTGTATACGGTGTTTAAAAGGCGATTAATGGAATCAAAAGTTGCTTTCAACTAACGGTTGGCTGTTACATCGCCTAAAACACCGTACTAGCAAAACGTAGATATGCAACTAAACCATCAAATAGATGTACGAAATCGAAAATAAAAAAATATTTTTAAAATTGATAATAAGAAACATGATAAGTTTTTAGTCACAAAATTAATAGCATGCTCTAGGATAAAATAACTTACGTTTACATAAAAAAAAAAAACTTTCATGATCAGAATCTAATTTTATGGTGTTTTCGTTTCTACCAAGGAATGCTGCCTTTTGATTTCCTTTGCCTTTCTCTTTTCGTGCTCGATTCTAAATTAAAGGCGAAGGGTGAGAAAATTTTGTGTTTGTTTTTTAAAATGCCTCTTGTAAGCCAAAAAAAGGCAAATTCTCTGCCCTGTGAAGCTTTGTCAGGGAAGATGGTTGCTCCGAAAATCAGATGGTTGTTTAAAACGAAAATTTTATGGAATGCGCGAGATAGACAAGGAAAGAAGGTTAAAACATGCCTATTTACACTTTTTGCTTCGGGGAAGGGCAACATTTTTTGGAAGAAACGAAATCACCATTATATGTATTTCAAACTAAAATTAATTACGAAAATCACTGGAGCGCGAATCATTCCGACGATCATAAGGATATCCACGAAATGCTCCGCGTCCATATGACGGCATACGTGTCGGATATGCAACAAGAGGAGGAGCACGATAAGCATCTGGTGTATATAAATCTGCTTCGTATCTTGGTCGACCATAATCTTTGCTAGTACTGGTGTCTTCATTAGAAGATCCCCTACCGCCATTGTAGTAGGGATCATCATCTATATCATAAGCCGCAGGCGATGGTGCTCTTCGGTTATTGTAAATAGGCGAGCGTTCACGAACAGGACTAGCTCTATAACGAGGAGGCGGTGGAGGAGATTGCGACTCACGGCCATGAATGCGTCTGTAGTAAGCCGAAACTGGAGATCGACTACGTGTCCTAGGTCTGCGTTCATACCTTGATTTAACTTCACGAGGTGGTGATGGTGAAATTTCACGTTTCGGCTCAAGTGCCTCTGCCTCCTCAAAATTTTCTTCCTTTATAGCTTTTTTTTTGGCGACGTTTCTATTTTTTCAGTTTCTTCTTCTTCATCACTGTCACTATAACTTTCATTATCGCCCAATCTTTTTCGCTCTTGTTTTATAAACTCCTTGCGCTGTGACGGAGGAACTCCAAAAGGTTTTCTGAGGACATTTTTCTGGTCTATATATTTTTGTGGATTGTAGTCTTCCACTTCTGTATCATCCCAATTCTCTTCGCATTCAATTGGGGCATGTCTAACGCGTTCTTCCTCTTTGGGCTCCACTGTATCATATTTATATTGTGTTATAAGCTTTCGATCAGGACAGTTGGTGACATGAAGCTAAAAAAGAAATTTACTCTGGTACACGTGCATATATATGTAAGATTTCGTGTTGTATAACTTACAGCAAATTCAGGCTCCGGTATATGATGTGTTGCGTTAAAAGGACATTTTTGTAGTTCAAGTTGTGGATAATTTTGACGACATTTGATTAGATGAGGTTGCAATCGCTTTCTCAACAAACGATGGGCCTTATTATAGGGGCACACGACAACATCAGAATCGTTCTCTATAGAAAACATTCCTAATTTTTTCTTTTAACTTCGTTACTGATCAACCTCTTAGATAAATAGCGTATTCAAGTTCACTCAGGTAAAATCACATTTCGGCCAAAGCCTGTATTTTGACAAATGTTCTGCTGTGTTCGATTTTAAAAGACAGTGCTCACAGTGTAGCCGGATGATGAGAATTATTTAATTTAGAAGCATTAGGGGCTGTTTACACCGATTACTGATACACGTCTCCACAATCAATTTTTAATGGAAAGTGTATAATCCAAAAAAATTGCAAAATACCATAAAATCGAAAGCTTAAAAACACGACAGAGCTGCAACATTCTGGGGAGATTACGAGGTAGTAGTGCACGTTACGGGAACCAGTCAAAAAGGACAGAACAAATCGATAGTGGTATCAATCGAAGCGTTTTAACGCGAACAATAACAATCCGGGGGGGGGGGGGGGGGGGGGGGTTGGGGAATTAAGATTTTTAATGAATTTAAGAGTTATTCGCAAAAACCACATGCACTTTGCACTTTTCGCACCATGTTTTGATTAATTTGATGCAAATAAATGGAGTAAATGAAAGTTGTTCTCTGCAAAAGGTGTTCAGCCCCCTTCTTTGGAGAATTCGACATAAGTGCAGAATACAGCCCGTTAAGCTAGAATAAAACGAAAAAGTGGGCGTGATCCGCCTTTTTTCCTCATTTTAATGGTATAACATTTTTTTGGTGCAAACTTATATTTTCGGTGCTATAGAGGGGCGAAGGGCGAATTTAAAAAAATTTAAAATGGCTATATTTGGAAAAATTTCCGACCGAATTTAAAAATATTGGTATCGTTAGAAAGGTAAACAAAACCTTTTTTCTAATATACACATTTATATAATTTATGTGCATACATTTTAAGAAAACTCATTTAATATATAATATAATCTATAAAAATATGTGTAAATAATGATACACCAAACTATAATAGGAAAATAGAGCATAAAAATACCTTTCATTTAACATATAACTTTATATAGTTAGATTTAAATACCGTGAGTAATTTTGTTTTACTGGTCTTCATGAAGGGGGATATGACCATACTGATGCTTATGATCGTGAACGGGACGACTGCGGCAGAAAGAAGTTCTGCGCCAAAATACTTCCGCCGTTTTCTTTGGTAATACAGAAAGGAGAATTCTACTGCCTGAGGGTCATAATCCCTAAGTGCGGCCGAAGGCCGCCTACGCAGAAAGGTGTTCAGCCCCCCTTCTTTGGCAACACAGAAGGGAGAATTCTACTGCCTGAGGGTTATAATCCCTAAGTGCGGCCGAAGGCCGCCTACGCAGAAAGGTGTTCTCTGCAAAAGGTGTTCAGCCCCCCTTTGGTAAAAAATGTTTTTTTTCTCAAAAAATATATATTTTTCTATTAAATGATTTTTCTCAAAATTTATCCACATAAAGTATATTAATATGTATATTAAAAAAGGGATTTTATTTACCTTTCCAACGATACCAATTTTTTTAAATTCGGTCAGGAATTGTTTGAAATATAGCCATTTTAAATTTTCGAAAACTCCCCCTTCACCCCTCTATATCACTGAAAATATAAGTTTGCACAAAAAAATTTTTATACCAGTAAAATCAGGAAAAAAGGGCGGACCATGTCCACTTTTTCGTTTTGTTCTACCTTAACGGGCCGTATTCTGCACTTGTTCCGAGAATTCCACTGCCTGAGGGTTATAATCCCTAAGTGCGGCCGAAGGCCGCCTATGCAGAAAGGTGTTCTCTGCAAAAGGTGTTCAGCCCCCCCTTCTTTGGTAACACAGAAAGGAGAATTCTACTGCCTGAGGGTTATAATACCTAAGTGCGGCCGAAGGCCGCCTACGCAAAAAGGAGTTGGACGCCTGGTTCCGCTAAAGTGCACTTTTACCGATTACGATAACCGGGGCGACAAATTTTGGCTATGCCATTGGAAAGCTGGGCTCCTCCAATTTTCAAATATATCCACTTTTAGGTTCTGGAGTCTTCTAGTTTTAAAGACATTAAGGGCCGTTTGCACCATGTCTAGTTAACGCTAACTGGAAGTACATCCTTCAGTAAAGCACGTTAACTGCTTTATCGATCACATGTTATATGATGGGTGTCGATAACGTCGATAAAGATGTTTAACTGGGAGTTAGAATTAACTAGACATGGTGCAAACGGCCCTAAGGGTCTTCCCTTAAACTCGTAAGAGCCTCGTAAATCTCGTAAATTTACGAGCCTCGTAAAAGAACTCTCAAAATTTGTATGGACCTCTATTTACGAACCCCTCTTAAATTTACCAGGCAAATTTGATGCGCAGGGGTCGAACTTTTTATACAAAAATGTATGATAAAATAATTAAAATAAATGAAAAAAATAATACGCGAATAAAATGAATGGATTTCATTCACTGACTTAGATTCTCTGCTAATTTTCAGCTTTTTTAACTGTATTTTAGCCAAGAGTGATAGCGACAAGATAGCGGGAACAAAAACGGTTTAAGACTTAGGGCCGGTTACTCAATGACTGGCTAACACTAATCTGCGGTTAAACATCGTTATCGATGTCTTCGACTCCATGCATGCAGCAGAATTATTGAAATCGGTTGACGTGGTCCAAAGTTATGCGGTAACATACACAAAAAAAAAATAAAAATAAAAATATTCCGACGAACTGATAACCTCCTCCTTTTTTGGAAGTCGGTTAAAAATGACAGCACTTAACCATTTCACTGAGATGGTTAAAAACCAACCAACTCGAAACCACGTCGAAAGTCTGTGGGTCATTACTAATACATTATAGCGTTAAAGGGCCTGTGCCAATCGGTTACTTTTTTCTCCATGGTGAGACGGGGTAGAAAAATTTGCCAAATGCAATGTGAAATTTTGACAGTTGAAAAACCAAGCAAACGATCGTGCGAAAGCTCTATTTTTGTGTGTTGCTGAAGTTGTTAAAGTTTATATTTATTTCATAACTTGCAAATAAAGTACGCTTTTTTGTGCTTTTTGAGCTTCCATTTTCATGTTCACTCTTTATTGCCGCCAAGCAATATTATGTGTATACATGTTTATAAGTCAAAATTTTAACTAGCCCCATGAGCTAGGTAAAATTCTGACGTTCGTATTCACCACAAGAAATGTCAAATTTTTACTTTGATCCGTCAAAATTTCCTCTTTTATCAATTGGGTCAGGGCCTGTGCCAATCAGTAGAAAAGTTCTATCGTGGAAAAACTTTACTATGGTGAGAAAATTTTACATTTCTGCTGTGCCAATTCGTAACTTTTTAATGCTGGAAATTTTTGACAGTTGCTTTGATGCAGAAAGCTATCGGGTTAGCAATTAATAGAATGCAGCAATTATAGAGAAAATATGTGCATTTGCTGATTTCAGTTCTTCTGGTACTGAAATCCATGTATTTATTATACCTTTTAGCAATAACCACTAATTTTTCTCTAATATCCACTCACTTTGGTGTTCTTTAATTTATGTGTATACATGCGTTGTTCTGTATTCTTCATGATATAAGCTTTGTTTCTTTACATTATCACTAGTTTTGCTGGAAAGCGTTTCTTAACCTAAAAAACTAGCGGCTTTCGTTCTTACACTCTTCTTTTTTTTGCCTCTCCTGCTAATTTCTGCAAGTAAAATTTTTACTAGCTGAATATTACAGCTGTCAAAATGTTTGTTTTATTTGTTTCTTTGTCCAAATTTCTGGTATTTCTTAAATAAAAACTTTCGTTTCATTAAATATTGATGAAATTGTAAAATGTATTTGTGAATACTTTTTATATATAAAACGCGATTGAAAAAATTACGTCAAATATTTTCAAATGTCAAATACACCGATCAGCTAGTTACTTGGTATTTTCTGTTAGTTTGCGTTTCTTAACTATTTTTTTATATCGCCCGTAACTCTATCAATGATCCCATTCCTCTCTTTCCTGATAATTATCGGCTAGAAAACTAAAGAAACAAAGCTAATGCTTGCTGCCAAATTTTTCACAGCCCTGCCGGATAAACAATTTTTATTCACCTCATAGCTGTCAAAAATTTACTATCCAGAGTACTTTTCTATTGATTGGCACAGGCCTTCAGGCCCAAAATTGAAAAAATTCGTTCCCTACCAGTTGTCGGACTTACTACGATCACATTATATTTACTCCGGTTTTTGAAAAAAATTTTAATCTCTCTACTCCGCTTTGACCCCTTACTTCAAATATATTCCGTTTTTTCACTCATGTTCCGCTCCTCTTGGGCCCCTTTTTTTTTAGTTTTCACCCCCGGTTTCAATAGAAAAATTTAAATTTAAGCCAAAGCTCACTGATAAAAAGTAACTCGTTCATAAAAATGAGTCAATAAAGTAACTCCATTATTTTTTGATATATGGATGTAGAAATTGGCGGATGCAGAACTTTATTTAAGTTGTTAAAAACATATGTAGAAAGAAGTTTATATAAACAAAGAACGTAGATAATATGAAGGGACAACTCGTTATAGTTGCAGCGAGTGTGAGTAATAATGGGCTGTTTTTGCTTACGCGTAAAAGCACATTTAGCGCATTTAGCTCTAAATGCTACTCTAAGGGCCGGTTGTTCAATGTCTGATTTGCAGAAATCGGAGGTAGAAGCTCCGGTTAAATACAACGACTGCTTTATCGATCACATGTTATAAGCATGGTGACGAAAACGTCGATAATGACGTTTAACCGGCAAGTAGTGATAACCAGACATTGACATGTCTGGTGAACACTAATCTGCGGTTAAACATCGTTATCGACGTCTTCGACTCCATGTATGCAGACATTGAGTAACCAGCCCTAAGAATCTAAATGCTTAAAGCAATCCTGTGATCTTCCAAATTTTCCACGATTCGAACATGGTATACGGTGGCTAGCTTCGTTTCATTGATCGCCGATCGAGATTTCATTTATTATTTTACATTATTTGGATAAAGAAAAGTTAAGCAAATTCAACATCGATGTGATGCTGATAGAAATCTGGATCAATTTGTGATCGACTCTGTTTGTTTTGTTTCCTAATTAAGTGAGGAAATTTTAATTGTCAGTTCCGACAAATGAATATATACACAAACAAATGTTTGGTTATGGTTAAAACAATTCAAGTTTTTATGTTGA